TTACTATTACTATTACTATTCTGGGTTTATGAGTATCATGGGGTATCACCTGAAAGCCTCCATATCAACTCTTCAGTCGCTCCTTTCTTTAAGGAAACCGAAGCACTCAGCTTCCGTGCCGAAGACTACGGCTCGGGCCTCGGATTTCAAAAAGAGCCCAAGATACAGCCATGCGAGGAGTGGAGCAGGGGATTACGAGACAGGCTGAGATAGCTAGGCTCGAGCTTTGTGCTACAACGTGGTGGCTGTTGATTGGACAGAAACCCTGAACCCTAAACCTGAACTCAGCATTTTTCCCTTCTGGCACTCTCCTGCGGTACGCTCTGGATGCCCTGGAGCGCTCCTGCAAATGCAGTGTCTCTTTTTTGGGGCTCTTTCGGTTGGCTCGGAAGTCTTGCAAGCTTTGCAGCGGGGAGGGCCTCAGTGTCACAGGCGTTGGGGTATGTTATAGTATACCCTAACCCCCTAGATACCTACTATATAGGGCCCTAGGGGCTCCAGTAACCTATATGGTAGGTACCTGGGGGTTAGGGAGAAGTAGAACAACGAACCCCGGGTTAAAACATCAGTCCCTTTCCTCTTTCATCCTATCTTATCCCTGGATTGCAGATCAATGTCATTTGCAAGGCTTCGTAGACCTAGACCTGGCAGCTCGGAAGGGGCTTGAGTTTCGAGCCGGTTGATCCCAGAATGAAAATTTCTGCCAGGATCCGAGACTCTGGCGGCCTTAATCCACAAAGGCTTTATAGGGTTTTTGAGGGATTTTAAGGTTGAGGGGTTCAAGGGTTTAGGGATTCAGGGCTTGTATTGAATTTCAAATTGGCCCTGGAGGAAAACTTGCATTAGTCAGCTCGCTGCGAAGCTAGAGACTCCAAAACCCCTTAATTAATGAATATACCTTAAACGGTAATAGGATCCCCAATATGATTTTAAAGTATCTTCCTCAATTAAGGGGTTTTGGAGTCTCTAGGAAGCCCGTTCCAGATCCCGGGGATGGGGCTTTGGAGACCAACACATCCGGTAGAAACCCGAGGTGCAAGACCTTGACCCAAAGCCCTTGTCTGAAAATCACAGATGTAAATTTAACATATAATACAAGACTATCTCACTTACTCACTATTGTTGTTGTAACACTCTATATATATATATATACATATACACACATACATATTATACATGTACCCTCCTGCATGTACAACTGTCAGAAACACGCGATTCATACGATTAAAGAGTAGGTAGGACATTGCCGCTTTATTTCCACAATCAATGGTTGAGGGTCGAGGGTTCTGTAAGATTCTCTGTGGCTTCATGATGTCTGTGTTGCAGCTTTGAGGGCCCAAAATGTGGGAGTTTCCGAAATAAGGGGTACCTTATTTTGGGGTCCTTATAATAAGGATCCTACTATTTAGGGTATTATCTTATTATTAGGGTCCCCTATTTTGTGAAACCCCATGTGACCACGAAGTGGAAACACATAAGCAACCCGGCGTCGGATCCCAAGCTCTGGGCCCTAACCGACTGCTCCAAACTCTCAGAACCTGATTCCCTACAGTCCGTTGTTGAACCCTTTTGTGAAACCGTGAGCACTATAATACCCTAAATTCCCCAAACACTAAATTCCTGTAGGATTGCTATTGCTACTACTATTACTATTACTACTACTGTTACTGTTTTGCTACGACTAGTACTATGACCATTCCCATGACTCGTACTATTACTCTTACTCTTCTCCAATCTCCTGCCACGGAGTCGCGCTGCCGAGTCGTCTTCGTCGTCGCCCGGCCGGCTGCAGCGTCAGCCGCCTTCAGAGTGGCTTGGGTTTCCTTTCGGTAGTCTACTTCGGGTTTAAACAAGGGCCTCAACCCCAGAGCCTGAACCCTAAACCCTGAACCCTGAACCCTGGACCCTGAACCCTAAACCGGGTTCTAAAAGGGCTCAACTCATGAGCCCTAGACCACAGAACTCCGACCCTGGAGCCCTCAAAGCCCTAAGAACCAAATCCTATAAAGCCAAGGCCCAAACCCTGAGACCCAGAGAACCCAATACACCTTAATTGAGGAATAGACCTTAAGCTATAGGGGCCTTAACATTATGAGTTCAGGTATGTTCCTTAACTAAGGGGTATTGGGTTCTCTGGAGAGTCGATCCTTATAACGTGTGCCTTTGCAGAGATCTCGAGAGTTCGCTTCGACAACCTCTGCCGGCAGGGATCAACCTCCAACAGGCCACGATGTCAGGGATCTAGGGAGTTCTTTTGGGGGCTCCAGTGAAAGGAGCGAACTACAGGGGCAGACTCCTTCATATAAAGGCCTACTACGAGAGGCTTTGGGGTTTCGGAGTTCGGGGTATTGAGGGCGTGAGGGGTTTAGGGCTCAGGGATGACACATCTGGGGCGTCGTTCGCTTTCTGAAAGGTTAGGGACTTAGGGACTTAGGGTTAAGGGTTCGGGTTTTGTGTTTGGGATTCATATGACTTCCGAAACATTCCGCATCCCCGGTGATCTGCCATCGAGTTCAACTAGCACGAGGTGTCTGTTCTTTGTTTCATGACGCTGCTCGTAATACGTCAAGTCTCCTGCGAGACGCAGGGTCACAAGGCTTATAATTTTAGAATGCCCCTCAGGCCACAAAGTCTCTTGCGGCCCGGTATCCTGACAGCCCCAAGCCCCAAACCAATCCGTAGGGTGTATGACCTGAATGCGCGAATGACCGTGAGGCCTTGCAAATGCTCTGAAACACCAAGAGCTGAAGCTCACATCCTACGACCGCAAAACCTATCCTACACCCTAAGCCCTGTAGGGCTTTAGATTAGGATTCAGGGTTTAGGGTTTAAGGCTTAGGGAGAGGGTTCGGGGTTTAGGGTTTAAGGCTTAGGGAGAGAAATCCTTATGGAACTCTTACAGCAGGATATAGCAAACCCTTAGAGTAACTTTGGGTCAGGCTACCAATCGACACATCCCAGAGCCCGTCCACCTTCTTCATCGGCTCCGAGAGTCTCGCGCGCCCGCGATGGTCCTATGCTTCGTTTCTGGCTTGCAGAATGCGATTTAGGGCTTAGGGCCTGATTTCACACAACAAGATGCAGTCTAATACAGTCATATAGTATATAAAGCTTAGGCTTAGTTCAGTACATTATAACATCATTCTGAGTCTGAGTCAGCTTGGCGACCCGAAACCGCCGCAAGTCGGAGTTTCGGGTACAGCAGACGAGCCTCTGATTTTTGGGGGGTCCCGGGTTTAGGTTTTAGGTTTTACGTTTAAGTGCATAAAACTTTCGGGCTTGGGGTTTTAGGGCTGTGCGCGCCTCCTGACAATTGAAACCACCGTGCCATGGGTCTCGTTGCGAGTTTCGGTCGTGCTGGGGTGTCTGGAGGCTTGAAGGTAGCTGGCAAAGCTTTTAAGCCCATGCAATATGCCTAAACTCTGAAGACGAACCTCTGACCAAACGATGCGACAGAATTAGAATTAGTACGATCTAGGCTCCCAGACTGCCAAAATTCACAAGCCCCCGAACACAGACACATCCAGCAACCACTGGCGACGACGACGATTGAAGTCTGCTTGCCTTGCTCACTGGCTGCAGTTTTGCACCGCGCCCTCGCCGAAGGGAGGCCTTTCAGACATGCCGACGGGGGTACTATAGAGGCCTGAATAATCAGAATAGGGTTTGGGAGCCCAGTATACCATATCTATAATAAGGAACCCCCAAAATAACATTGGTAAGTCTTTAGGCTTCTATCTTAGGGGACCTTAAGGGGAAATGGAGTTCTGGGGCTCAGATGCTGCTTGCTCGTGAAATCGTGCTTTTCACGATTGCAATCCCTTGCTCGAAGTCTAGTCTTCTCCTCCTACGGCTGCGGCTCTCAATGTCCTGCCCGAAGTATCCTGGTTTTACCGTTTTGGTGTTGTGGCTGTTGCGGCCTAAGGTATCGGTTGGAGCCGGGCTATAGGGCTTCGGCTTCACGGCCTCATTCTCTGAACCTACTGGTACAGGGTAGAGTTTAGGGATTACGGTTTATAGGGTTTAGGCTATCTAACATCGAGGTCATAGTGGCCCTGTTTGCAGCAAAGTTTCAGAAGGCTCAGACATCAAGAACTTATCTGACTGCATTGAAACGAAGGCACAAAGAACCGGAGTTAGGGGTGAGCGTTTAGGGTTTAGGGTTTAGGCCTCCTCGGGCCATCTCTCAAGAATCGGGGACGAATCCCTGAAAACCCTAAGAGCCCCTACGCCCTGAACCCTAAACCCTCAACCCTAAACCCTTAACCCTAAACCCTAAACCCTAAACCCTAAACCCTAAACCCTAAACCCTCAACCCTAAACCCTTAACCCTAAACCCTAACTTCCGCCCCCTCGGCCGGACTCCAAGGTCCGACTGATCTGCCTCTGCCTTCGAGGCGGCGCAGACCATGGCTTCGAAAACGGCCCCCGGAGCTTCGAATCAGCCGCAAGTCTTATAAGAATTAGAGAAGGGTTTTGGGTTTGGGCTTTGGGGGGGGTACAGTGTTCTAGAGGGACTGGGAGGGGATACTATTGCTGATTCTTCCGACCCCTTTACTAGGGTGGTGGCTTAGGTTTAGGGTTTAGGGTTTAGGGTTTAGGGTTTAGGGTTTAGGGTTTAGGGTTTAGGGTTTAGGGTTTAGGGTTTAGGGTTTAGGGTTCCTGGCTTAGGGCGTAGGGTTTAGGGTTTAGGGGGCTTCCATGGCTGCTACTGCTCTGATGGGGAATCTGCAAGCTTGCCATGTCTGGCACCTGGCTGCTCGCGAAAACGCCACCGAGGCTTCTGCCTTTCAGGATTTAGGGTGCAGAGCTCAGGGTTTAGGGTTTAGGTTAGGACCCATACTGTCGCTGCTGCGGAGCAAACTCTGCCGGACAAGAGTCAAGAGCTTCTCTGCACAGCAGCGCCAAGAAACTGAATCACGGCCAGTTTTTCGAGGCACCTGCAGGCCTGCGAACATGTGTCGGTCTATGGAAACGACGGTCAGCTGGTGCGGCGTATTTCACTTCTCGTACGTAGACTTGCCGGCGCCGTAGGCGTAGATGGTGACGGTGTCCTTGGCTCGCTTCACTGGCACCTTGAATGCCTCGAAGACAGGATCCGAGACGTACTCGGTGTAGAGCTTCTGGACCTCAGCCTTGTTGCCGGAGTCCGCAGCCTCCAGCAGCTTTTCAGTGAGCTCTGCCTTCTTCTCAAAGAATCCAGGCTGGTTGCGCCAGTAGCTATTGAGCGCCTTGAACTTGGGCTCCTTCTTGAGGATCGTCTGCATGTCACCCTTCTCCACAGCTGCCTTCAAGCCCAAAACCTGGGGTCCGTAGCGGGCCAGGGCCGTCACGGGCTCGCCCTGGGCATCGGCGTAGGCTGCCTGCACCCCTGCGGTGGCCACGGCCACACCTGCGGCCTGCAGAACCTCCCGCCGGTTTGGGCTTGGCGATGCAAAGCTCGGGGCCCAGCGCTGGAACAGGGCCAGGACGGTGAAGAGTGCCAGGGCCACGGACAACGCGGAGGAGCGTGCCATGCTCTCGGGGCGATGCACAAGCGGCTGAGGGGCTTTCCGTCTCCAAACCTCTGATTACAAAAAAACCTGCAGAGCCGCGTTCAAGCGCCCACCGAGAAATCGTCAACCATTCTACTCTGGAACGCAGCTGGTGCAGTCTGCTTTTTCCGAGCCAGAGCACTGCCAGGCTGCATGTTGCATCTGGGCTCTTTCAAGGCACCTGCAGGCCTGTAAACATCGGTCGAGAAATGGAAACGACCTGAAGCTGTCAGGGGTGCCAGGTGTGGACGGCGGCCTAAACGATCTCAGGCCTTCGCCAACTTAACTAGGACCCCTCCCTCATTAGCACTCACTCATCGTACGTAGACTTGCCGGCGCCGTAGGAGTAGATGGTGACGGTGTCCTTGGCTCGCTTTACTGGCACCTTGAATGCCTCGAAGACAGGATCCGAAACGTACTCGGTGTAGAGCTTCTGGACCTCAGCCTTGTTGCCGGAGTCCGCAGCCTCCAGCAGCTTTTCAACGAGCTCTGCCTTCTTCTCAAAGAATC